AGCCTGATGGATCTCCTGCGCTTTTAAAAGGGGAGATGTAGATCCTCCCCCCCCTCACCCAATTAAAAAAAAAGTTAACAACTTGCCCAGTGTTCTGTGATTGTTGGAAATTTACCTGCGGCAGAGGGCATGGTGGGTGTATAGCGCCTAACAGGCCAGGGAGCAGGGACTTGTACAAGATGGGAGCGTGTCTGAGGTAAGGCCCTGTCTGAGGTTGCCCTTTTTGAGCTTTTTAAGTTTGTTTTGAGGTGGGTACTCAAAGCAGTCCATCTGCCTCATCCTCCCAGGAGTTGATCACATCTGCCTCATCCTCCCATGAATTGGAATCACAGGTTTGAGACACTGCCCAGCTTCAAATAGTTTCTAAAGGAGGGCCCAGGTGTTCACTTTGCTCTGGGCTCTGCAACTTCCGTAAATTCAAAAATTCCATTTTTGGGCCAGGAAGTGGTGGTGCACACCTTTAATCCCAGCATTCGGGAGGCAGAGGCAGGAGGATCTCTGAGTTTGAGGCCAGCCTGGTCTCCAGAGCTAGTTTCAGGACAGCCAGGGCTACACAAAGAAACCCTGCCTTGGAAAAAAATAAAACAAAAGTGAAATTAAAACAAAACAATTTCCATCTTCAATGGAGGGACAGGATAATCCACTTAGAGAGAGAACAGAAGGGGCCCAGGGAAGGGAGGAGCTGTGTAAACAAAAGGCAGAGGTAGGCAGTCTAGGAGGCTGATCTCACAGCAGGGGCTGAGTCTGGCTGTGAGTGCATGTGGTTGTGTAAGCAAGGTGTGTGTGTGTGTGTGTGTGTGTGTGTGTGTGTGGCCTCTGTGATTATATAGTGCCTGCAATGCATGTAAGTGTACATGATTGAAGGAAGGCTTGAATGGGAGACTATACACTAGTGTGAGTGGTGTATGCCGTTACATGATATGTAGTGTTTACGGCGTGTGTGATTATGGCATGTAGGGGCGTATTGTCTCTGTGGCATGAGTGGTCTGTACTTCTGTGCACAATGGGCCCCCAGGGCAGGGACAATCTGAGGACAGTTTGAGAGTTACTTATGAAGCCCCTCTGTGCTAAGTGCTGACACTGTCCGCTCCTTTGAGGACTGCTACTGAGTTAGAGACAGAAGTGAGCAAACAGACAGATGGGGGGGGGGGGTGGAAAGTAAGAAGTCCCTTACAAAAGTTCCTATTTTGGAAGAACTGAAGTACAATGTGTTGGCTAAAGCCAAAAGGCCCAGTGTAGCAGTCCACAGATGAATCCTTTTCCAGTGATGAAACGACCACCCTTTCATTAATTTAAAAACAAAAGAAACCAAAACCCTCCCACTTCAACTGCCTCCTAGAGAAACTGCAAAGCTAGTGTGTGTGTGTGTGTGTGTGTGTGTGTGTGTGTGTGTGTAATTCTGGGGACAATTCAGAGAAGGCATGGTAGCCAGCCCAGCACCCCAGGCTCTGGCCCATTGGGCACACCCAAGCCCTGGAGGGTTGACCTCTCTTTGACCCACCCAATAACACATGATCCTACAGAAGTTGATAAGAGGTGGACCAGCTCAGGGCAGTATATAAACAGCCCCACCCAAGACACACCTAGAGGAGCCAGGGCAGGTGGCAGGGGACAGGATGGTTTCTGGGCTGGTGAGACTTGGCATAAGTGTTCTGACTCGCACAGAGAGCTAAGAAATGTCAGTCTAGGGGTCAGGTCTGCAGGACATCAAATGACCTGTTGGATGGAGGGAAGAGAGAAGTATTGAGGAGGAAAGACTTGGGTAAGCTATGCTTCCCAGAGGCTGGGCATGGTAGACTTCAGAGGCTCAAGCAAGAGGACCAAAACGTTTGAGGCCAGACAGAGCTTCATATTGGGTTGTTAGTCTGTTGGTCTACAAAGCGAGACCCTATCTCAAAAGAAAAAGAAAAAACAATACCCCCATAGAATCCCACGTGGGAGGCTGAGGCAGGAGGATCGATGCTAGTTTAAGGTATGCCTGGGCTACAACATGGAATTCAAGACAGGTTTGGTTATAGAGTGAAACTGCCATAAAAGACTCCCTAAGGGCTGCCTTAGACCCAGGCAGGAATGCTGGGTTTCTGGTCCCTACTACCACCTGACCGTGACCTTGGGCCAGCTTTTGCTCCCATCTGTGGAATGGAACAGGTGGTCTTCTTGGAGGGGATGGACCCCTTATAGTGGGATGAGGGAAGTACTCATCAACTGAAGGGCAGGGCACAGGTCTGCTCAGGCCTCGATCAGCAGCCTCGGCAGTATCAGAGGCTTGGCTGGCTTCTCAATCCTCTTGTCCCACACATACCTTACAGATGAGACTCTCCTCGGAGGTCTCCTCTTTGGAGAGCGTAGGAAGGGTGGCCTCCCCCCCAATCCCCCTGCTTTTGATCAGCGGACATTCCTCAACAAAGGTTGTCTCTTTAAGGAAGGATGGACTCCAGAGACAGCTCATAGAGAAACTAGCAGTGTGTGGCACATACACAAACAATGACGAATGATGTCATTGTTTGGCCAAGTGGAGCCCAAGCGTCCCTTGGCTAGGTGGCCACCACGGCGTGAAGCCTAGCCTGCCTAAACCTCCACGCTTGCCAAGATGTAAAAACTTGTTCCCAAATGGCTTCAGAAGAGTCTAGGTTCTCTCATAGCCCAGCTAGTCTATTCAACCAACCTCCATCTCCTTCCCAGGGCTCATTGCTTCTCCAGAACAAGCCCCATTTCCAGACATAACCCAAGCAAGATTCTTGCATAACTCTTTGCAAGATTCCTTCTTTATCTGCATTCCTGGGGGAATAGAATAATCTGGTATTCCCAAGGCAACTAGGTGTTAATTAGTTCACATAATGGCTTGGTGTGTGTGTGTGTGTGTGTGTGTGTGTGTGTGTGTGTGTGTGTGTGATGGGACCACAGGAGTACTAAGATAGTGTGTCTCTGCATAACTCTGGCTGGCCTGGAACATTGGTCACCAGGCTGTCTTTAAACCTCACATGGTCATGCCTTTAATCCCAGCGCTGGGGAGGCAGAGGCAGGTTGATGGATGAGGCTGAGGCCAGCCTGTTTTACAAAGTGCCAGGACTGTTACACAGAAACCTTGTCTTGAAAAACCAAAACAAGCTGTCCGGTGATGGCTTTAATCCCAGTACTCGGGAGACAGATCTCTGAGTTAGAAGAAGCCAGCCTCGTCTACAGTGCAAGTTCCAGGACAGGTTCGAAAGCAATACAGAGAAACCGTGCCTCAAAAAACCAAAACAAACATCTCACAGAGATCATTCTGTTTCTGTTCTCCAAGTGCTGGCCTTATAAGCACGTGAGCTACCATGCCTACCACCACATAGCATGTGTGTGTGTGTGTGTGTGTGTGTGTGTGTGTGTGTGTGTGCACAATTACTTTAGAATAAGTTACTAACAGCATGGCCAGGGCTCTGAGGAGTTCAGACCCCAGCAGCATGGCAGAGGTTCTGAAGAAATTAGGGTCTCAACTTTGTTTTCCTTCTTTTTGAGACAGGGCATCTCTGTAGTCCTGGCTGTTTTGGAACTTCCTCTGCAGACCAGGCTGACCTCAAACTCACAGAGATCCACCTGCCTCTGCGTCCCAAGTGCTGGGATTAAAGGCCTGTACCACTTTTTAAATGTATATTTTTTTTTAACATTTCAATTTCAGAAGATTTCCTTTACTGAAAATACCCATTGAAACATTTTCTGTGCTGAAATGTTAAAAAAATATATATATATCCTTAAGACCCAGGTGGAGTAGTGCACGCCTTTCATCCCAGGACTGGGTGGGGGGAGGGAGGGGGCATGGCAGAGGAAGACAATTCTCTCAGCTTGGAGCCAGTGTGGTCTGTCCTATGAAATCCTGTCTCCTTGCTCCAAATATGAACAAAACAACCAAAAACCAAGTTGGAGACCTCCAAGCCCAGCATAAAAGGCAGGGGCTGTCAACATCCAAGGATCTCACTTTATGCTCTGCACCAGGATAATCTTTCTGGGAGAGGATGCAAAGAGACTAAGTCGGGTCGGGGAGGGGGCGTTTAGCCCAGTGCCTGGCTAGAGACTTGGCCCATCTTTCTGTCAAGCACTCATCTCCATTTTGTTTTGCTTTTCCACTTTACAAGATCGTATCTGTGATTTCATGTCAGTCACAAACGCTCCGGTTCAGATTACAGATCTTTAGCACGCAGCCAAATTGGCTAGAATGCAAACGAGTGTGTTCACAAGGCTGGACTTGAATTCTAGACTTCTGGGGGAGGACATCAGATCCAAACTCTTGTACAAGAGGAAGCAGCCCTGAGGAAGACAGATTTGGCCAAGGTCACTGAGCACATGGCTGGTAGTGGCAGGGTGGCCGTAGTAGTCCCAGTTTGTTTTTTCTTTTCTTTTTTGGGACAGGGTTTCTCTGTGTAGTAGCCCTAGCCTTGAACTCACAGCGATCCACCTGCCTCTGCCTCCTGAGTGCCTAGTCTAGTTTCTAAACCCCTGCCTGCTCGTGCAAAGCCTGTTTTTTTTTTTTTTTTTTTTTTTTTCTTTTTTGCAGCTTCATCCATTTTCTTTACTCTCCTCTCAGCCTCCAGCCAACCCCCCCCCAGAAGCCCACACCCAGCTCCCACACATCTTCTGCATGTTTACCTCTTCTCCACGCCTTATCCGCTCTATAGCCCCAAATGTCAATACACAGCTCAGACCAAGGTTAGAAAAAGCCTAGAAGGCACTTTATTGGAGGCCCGAGCCTCCAGGAATCCCATCTTGAGGGGTCTGACATCAACCCATTTCTTGCTGGTCTTAGGAGCCCCAGAACAATCTGGCCTCCAGCACTCAGTGGGAGAAGAACAGGGAAGGGGGATGCTTTAGAAAAAATAGCTCTCTATGTACACCTGGAATATTTATAGCACATAAATTAGGGATGCTCTGACTCCCGCCTGTGGAGCCTGAGTACTGGCCGAGAGGTGGAAATCCGTCCAGGAAGAAGGCCTATAGAAGGCCACCCCGCCCCTTCTGTCCCTGCACTCCCCTCCCACGGTCTCCCCAGCCTCCTTGGCTGCATCCAGGCATCTGCAGGTGGGTCTCTTCTGTGGTCGGTGCTGAGGCTGGAAGGAGCTGGCCTCACAGCTATAGAGTCAGAGTCAGCGAACAAGTCGCTTCAAACCCTGGGGCTTGTAATTCCGAAAGGAGGGAGGGCAAGGAGAGGCCACAGGCTGCAAGTCATGATGCAACACAACGGACAGACGGACGGACGGACGGGCTCCTCCTCTCTACAGCAACACAGGGAACACGTCCACATTAGCGGTGCCTTCAGGCCGGCCTGTCCTCCCAAGAAGGCTTCAGTTCGAGCTCATGTCTGAGTCAGGTCCTAGGGTCCAGTCCTGACCCTTAATTCCGACTCTCGATGATCTCTTCCTCTTTCCAGCCACTGGAGTTCTTGCCGAACTTGTAGACGAGCCGCCGGCCATCGACCCGCTCCAGGATCTCCCGTTTGTAGTAGTACCTGGGGGGGGGGGGCATGCTTTGTCCTGAGGTTTCCCCTGGCTTGGATGCCCTGAGCCTTCCTGGGTTCCCGCCTGCTGTTACCACACTGTCTAATTATGGCCCAGCGCCTGTTTCTGCGTTAAGTTCTCTGTGCCTCCTGCTATGTCCTGGGGCTTCCGATGAAGGCGCAGGAACATAGGGATGCAGAACTGGTCCACTCCCTGGCACGTGGGGCAAGGGAACCAAGCTGCAAAACACACTGCTCTATCCCCCTCTAAGTCCCTCTCTCAGAACAAGGTCTAGGGAAAACAAATGTCAGCTGAAGCTGTGTGCGCAGAGCCCTGACGGACAAAGGCTTCCTCACGCTCCCACTGGCCAGCGAGCCCCGGCCACCAGCTTACCTCATGGCCCGGCTCAGCTTCTCGTAGGTCATGTTGCTGTTCTTTTTCTTTTGGCCCCACAGTTGGGCCACGGCCTCCGAGCGAAGGAACTTGAACACGCCCTCGTGCCGGTTCTCCCACTTCATGAGGCCTTCGTTGAGTTCAGGGTGGATGAGGATGTCTCGAATGAACTCCCACAGATGAGTACCTCTGGGTGCTACAAGGGGGGTTCTCCTCAGCTGTGAGTCTGCGGTGCCCCCTCCTCCAGGCCATCTGACCGCGCCTGACCCCCCCCCCAACACCAAGAGCCTGAGCTACGACAGACAGCCCCCTTTAAACGCACTGGGCAATGTCCTCTTAGGGACAGACAGCTGTAGTGGCTGCTTCTTTCTCTGCCCCAGAATGCAGCGCGCTAGGCAGACGGCGCGGAGCACACAATTCTCTGGGCTCAAACATCTGGCTAAGGGGGACAGACACCGAGGGGCTCATGGATCCCTGGGGACCGACATTGGTGAAAACTTGGCACACATGGGGACAGAGAGCTGGCTACACAGTCCAGAGGACCAAGGAACAGCTTCCTGGAGAAAAAAAAAAAAAAAAAGGAATATCCCCTCGGGACACGAATGGAAGCAGGCCACGAGCTCGTACGTGCAGGCCCGTGTGTATGGAGGAGGCAGCAAGCAAGACCTTTGGGGTGACCTCCAGGTGGTTCAGAGCAGCTGGAACACACAAAGCCTGAGGCTCCTTCGGCAGGCTGTGCCTGGAGCCGCAGCCATTGCAGCCCACTGGACTCTGAGCCCCCCTGAGCCCCACCAGCTGCCTGCTCACCATCAGGGAGCACTCCATCAGGCAAGACAGGAGCCAGCCCAGTACCGAAAGTTAGAGGGGGCCGGGCAGGAAAAGCCTGGCCTGTCTCTGTGAGCCTCCCCAGAGAAGCCTCAGTTTCCCCTCCTAGAGCTCTAAGTCCAAGCAGACCTCTGTATGAGGTGATTGCTTACTGCTAATGCCGTGGAGCCTCCCAACTGTTCACAAAGGGAAGACCGTGACCTGGGACGCTCCAGTGGCCAGGAGTGGCCTGAAGTGGGCCCACAGGCCCAGGAACTCCCAGAACTTACCATGCTTACTCTTCTTGCCCTCCAAGCAATCCCAGTACTCTTTGCTCAGCTTTCGGGGACGCCCACGTTTCCTCTTCCCGTGCTTGGGTTCCCCCTTCTTATGGTCAGGAAAGCTATCTGTAGGACGGGGTTGGAAGGTGAGGGCTGCTGTCAATGGGGAGCCTTTCTATGGAAACCACAGTAGGGCAGAGGGGATGGGAGAGTGGCCGGATGCCGAAGATCAGCCCCTAACTCACCTCTAGGGAAGACCTTGCTATCAGTGAGATCCAGATCCAAGTCACTTCCACCGGAGTCGGAGGAGTGGGAGCTCTGGGGAGTGGTGGTCCCTAGGGGTGGAGGAGTCAGCTTGAGTGCCCGGGTCAGCCTACCCAGCTACTGTCTGCAGATTCAGACTGCACTCATTCTGGAAACTAGATGCACTCTGGGGCCTGAGGAGAAGGTAGACTGAGGCAAGGACAGGACTCTCACCTGCAGTAGAGACATCAGAGCTCCCGGGCGAGGGTGCTCCCGGGCCATAGCTACTGGTGTAGTAGGGGCTGGCCTGGCGGCCATCATCCAACAGCTCCTGAGCAAAAGGGCTTCCCTGATCTGGGGGAAAAGAAGCTGGAGCTTAGAGAGGCCCAGGGAACCAGCAAGAACAGGGAAGAGCACCCAGGGTCCCGAGAACTGGCTGTAGAATATAGAGAGGCCCAGGGAACCAGCAAGAATGGGGAAGAGCACCCAGGGTCCCGAGAACTGGCTGTAGAATATTTTTTTCTAGTTGGGAGGGCTGCAGATGGGACAATCTGGGGAAGAGGAAAATAAAACGGGTTCTCACCAAAGGGGCCCGAGTCTCCCAGGCCCTCCTGGAAGGCCATGCCATCCTTCTCCAGCAGCTCGATGATCCAGCTGAGTTCATCCGTAGAGCTGGAGGCTGGCGGAGGCAGGGAGGGGTCACACTCCATCTTCCTCCCGCAGGACCGGGGCGCTCCAAGTCCTTCCCAAGACCCATACATACCCCCTGTCCACTCTCTGGGCCCCCGTCGTGGCTCCCCTGGCCTAGACTTACTGAGGTCCCGCAGCTGGGCATAGAGTTGGTCCCCCAGAGGCCCAAAGACCAGCCGTAGCTCCTCGAGGGCGCAGCTGCAGAGCGTGGCGCCGTCCATGTCACATCTCGAGAAGTCAATGGAGCTGGCGTCATACTTGTTCTTCTCCACTTGGTAGCTAATCCAGTCCAGAACCTGGGTCTTGGACCAGAGCTGGGGCTGCTGGCCTGACCAGCTCGCCTTCTCTGAAAGGGGAGGAACAGAGGGTCAACCCAGGCCACAGTCCAGCTGTTCCTTTGGGGTCTCGTCTGAGCTCCTACCCCTCCCACGGGGGGGGGGTAGTAGTCACAGTCACGATAACCCCTGGTTTCAGATTTCCTCAGTCAGGCCCTACACCCCACCACCTCAGCCACTACAGGCTCTTCAGGGCCTCTGAGCGCAGTCTAACTAATACGCGTACGGTCTTGCTTGGATTCTTTCTCCAACACTGCTCTAATAAATAAATGAATAAATTCTCCCCAGCCCTAACCCTGGGGTTCTTTTGGAGACCTTCCTTCCTACCCATTTATCCAAGAGCCTCTTAGACAAGTGTCCTGTCTCTCAAGACACCCCATTACACAGCACTCACGTGGTCCTTCCAGTGACATCTGGGGGTTGTTCATGGTCAACACCAAGTCATCGCCGCCAAAGGTAGCCGTTGGAGGAGCAGGAGCCAGGGTGGGGTCTTCTGAACTGTACATGGCGTTGAAGTAGTTACTGAAAACGTTGCTGATCTCGCAGGTGGCTGCCATGAGGCCCCCTGGGAAGAGGGCACAAGTTGGTGAGGGTGTAGATCAAGGCGCTGGCCAAGCCCGGGCAGCTACAGCCAAGAGGCAGGAAGGGGTTCGGTGTTGCCGTTCACAAAGCCCCCGAGAACCAGCTACTTGGGAAGCTGAGGTTGGAGGATTTCTTGAGCCTAGAAGCACCAGGCCAGCCAGCGCCAAACTGGGAAATTCCGCTCCAAAAAAAATTAAAAAAAAAAAAAAATCTCAAGCAGGGTGGAACCACGAGACAAACTCGGCTGGGGCTCCCTCCACAAATCACCTGGGCCCTTGAGCCAGGGAAGCCACCCTGTCCCTCCAAGACACTGAACTGGTCTCTGGCCAGTCCCGGAACACCCCACAGCCCTAACACTAGGAAGCGCCAAGCTGCAGAAACTAAGTTCAAGAACTGTAAATCCACTGGACGGTTGGTTCCCGGGGCCAGAGTTAGGGAATGTGACCCTACCGGGTGTCAGGGTTCGATGTGGCAGGCGAGTAGGAAGGCTGCTGTGTGGCCACAGGCGGGGAAGAAATCTAGGCGGCTGAAGGCTCCGCCAGGTAGCAGTGATGAGTGCGCCCAGATCGCTCCCCACCCGCACTAAATAGCCGTGCGCCAGCTCCGCCCCTGCCAGGTCTTCGGTGTGCGTCCCCGGTTGTAACCTGAGCTGGTGGCTCATTGGATGCAGGGGATTTCCTTCAGACCGGGCTCCCGGTCCCAGGTGATTTGCATATTCCGTGCCACTTGGCCCAGATCCTAGCAGGCGGTGCTGGGAAATCAGGCCTGGCTAGTTTAATGATTGTCAGAGTCTGTCATTCCGCACCCTCTGGGGTTGGGCCCTGGGTACTGGACTGGGCAGGTGGCGGGAACATTGCTGGGGTGGGCACCTGTGCTTTAGGCCGTGCTCTGGCCCGGGGAAATTCTCCCCGGGGGCCGGGCCAGGGCTGAGCCGGTGGCTGGGTCAGGACTGCTGAATCTAACTGTCTAGAGGTCTGGGGACAAACGGGCCTAGTAAAAGTTACAGAGGCTAAGGCGTTTTCTCCACAACATCCAGAAACAGGGGTGCTGAAAGCGTCTAGGCCTTACGCTGGGCCACACTCACGGTCCAGGGGTAGTTTGAGCCTGCCAATGTAGCCAGCCACAGAGCGTTTGGTGGCACTGTGCCTGTCTGGAGCCCACCCAAGCACGATGGTTGCTGCAGCGGGAAAGATCTGGCACTACTTCAGAGGTCTAACATGGTGCCTGTGACGTTCTCCCTGCTTAGGGTCGGCTGGAGGTGCTGGAGTTCACATGGGTAAAGTTTCATAGCCTCGTTCTCTAGTGATTACTCCTCACTCGACCCAGACCATCGGTATCTGCCTGCTGCCCTCCAGTGGTCAAAAGCCACCACTTGCGTCATTACAGACAAAAGGGACTGCGCATACTAACAATACTGTTTACCAGGCACTTAAACAAACAACAACAACAAAACAAAAATGGGAGGCGGTGAAGCAAGCCTTTAATCCCAGCATTCGGGAAGCAGAGGCAGATTGCTTGCTGTGAGTGTGAGGACAGCCCGGTCTACAGAGCAAGTTCCAGAACAGCCAGGGCTACACAGAGAAACCCTGTCACGAAAATACACAAAACCCCCCCAAAAAAAAAAAAAAGAAAAAAAAAATGCTGGAAGTTGAACCCAGAGCTTCCTAGGCAAGCACTGTACCAATGGGCTATATTCCCAGAACAGTTTGATTTTTTTTTTTTTTTTTTTTTTTTTTTTTGAGACTGTTTCATTAAATACAGGAGGCTGGCCTCAAACTCCAGAGATAGGCCCTGAGGCTGGAATTAAAGTAGTAAGCAGCCATAACCAGCACCAGAACATTTTAAACAGCATACAAAAACATTCAACAGGCGATGTGGGGCTGGAGGAATGACTCAGTGCATAGATGTCTGCTGCCGAGCCTGATGACCTGTGTCCCATACCAGATACAGGAGAACTGATTCCTGCAATGTGACCCTCTGACCTTCATGTGCAAATGTGCACCACACACACACACACACACACAGCACAAAGCAAAATAATATTAATAATAATAAAATTTAAAAGCAGTGTTGGACATGTGTGGTGGTGCATGCCTTTAATCCCAGCTCTCCCAGGGGCAGCTGAATCTCATGGCCGTGCCTGGTCTACATAGTGAGATCCATTTATATTTCATACTTTATTTTATGATCATTGGTATAAAGGTGTCAGATCCCCTGGAGCTGTAGTTGCAGACAGTTGTGACCTGCCATGTAGGTGCTGGGAATTGAACCTGGGTCGATCTGAAAGACCAGTTAGCTGAGCCATCTCTCCATCCTGTGAGACCCATTCATTGTGGTTTGTTTAGGCCACCAAATTAGGGAATTAAAGGGATGTTGCTGGTACCTTTTCGTACGTGTAAGTGCCTCTTGCTGTAAACATCCCACTCAATGAGTCCTGTGTAATCAATGGCTTTTGGGGGTCACAGCCCAAATACAAGGGGCCGGCTTTGAAGATCCTTCCTAGCAAACCCTGAGTAAAGCATGAGGATGGCAAAGAGGATGGGGAGTCATACTTCAGCTCCTGCACTCAAGTGGTCAAAGACAGTGGTTTCTGCACATAGGGAAGGAGGCGTCCCAACCAGAGGGATGTGCCTAGACTCCTAGCTACTCGGGATGCTGAGGCAGGCACACTGAGTTTGAGGATAGCCTGAGCAACTTAGTAAGGCTAAATACTGAACAAAGAGCTGGCCAGATGGCTCAAGAGATAAAAGCACTTGCAGCCCTAACCTAATGAGCTAACTTCCATCTCTAGTAAAGCCCTGGGTATAATCTCCAGCACTGCATATAAAGATGTATGTGGTATGTGCTGGAGAGATGGCTCAGTCAATAAGAGCACTAGCTGGTCTTCCAGAGGTCCTGAGTTCAATTCCCAGCACCCACATGGTGGCTCACAACCATCTGTAATGAGATCTGGCGCCCTCTTCTGGCCTGCATGGATACATGGGGACAGAAAAATCTTTTTCTTTTTGGTTTTTCAAGACTGGGTTTCTTTGTGTAGCCTTGGCTGTCCTGGAACTTGCTGTGTAGACCAGGCTGGCTTTGAACTCAGAGATCCACCTGCCTCTGCCTCCCAAGTGCTGGGACTAAAGGTGTGCACCACCAATGCCTGCTTCTTAATAAATAAATCTTTAAAAACAAAAAGATATAGGTGGTGGCCTCTGAAATTCCGGGGCTCAGGGTCAACCTCAGCTACAGATGGAATTTGAGAGTACGGTAGATTCTCTCAAAAGCAGAAAAACAGAAGCGAGCGAAGAATGAGGGTGTGGGGCTCTATAGTCCCTAAAATCTCTTCCAGTTCCAGCTCCTTTTTGTTGCCCAAGGAGCCAATTCAGCAAGTTCTCCACATTAAACCATCAGGACCCAGCCGGGCAGTGGTGGCAGATGCCTTTGATCCCAGCGTTTGGGAAGCAGAGGCGGAAGGATTCCTGAGTTCAAGGTTTAGAGTGAGTTCTAGAACAGCCAGTGCTACACAGAGAGCACTGGACACACACACACACACACACACACACACACACACACACACACACACACGATATTAGATTTGGCTTCTCTTCTTTCCACTCCATTTGCATTTATGGACACACAATGCCCCTTGGGGTCCTCAAGCGAAAGGTGATTCCTTTTGCTTCTAGGTGTCTCATTGTCTGAAGACCCACTCTCCATCTTAAACTACAGGCTCCTTTCCACTAGGTGAGGGCTGCTGGAGAGCCAGGGGCTGTGAGTAGGCTTTTCACTGGCCCTTCAGGGGACCTCCCACAAGCAGCCTGAGGCGGACGCACCCTCTACCTAGTCATTCAGCCTGGAATGTGGGATAACCAGCTCTTAGCCTCTGGGCTGCTCATGTGCTCCTTTGCCCAAGAACACCTGGTTGGGTCTCCAAAGCGAAGAGAGGAGGAAGATAGGGAGGATGAAGCCCTCAGCTAGCACCTTCGCCTTCATGGAGGCTTCTTTCTTCCCGGAGAAACAGCTGTGGCAATCTGACGGCTAGCCCATCCCTCTGAGTATTAATCCCCTCACTAGCCAAACGGAGAAGAGTGAGAAAGGATTGGACTTGATGTTGATGCTTTGGAAGGTTCGAGGCAGGGGAGGCAAGGGGCCTTGGAAATAGCCTGCCTATATGCTGAGCACGGCGGAAGAGTGTGGTGCCTTTCCCAGAGATCCTCAGCAGCATAGCTTCGTCCTCAGGATGGGAGGGTAACAAGAACATTGCCCCCCCCCAGTCCTGTTAGAGCACAAGCAGGCCCAACAGGGTTCCAGCAGAGCCAAGATGGCCAGTGAGAAGGTCACACAACTCCCCGAAGCTCATGGTATGAGATATGAATAGAAGCTGGGCAGTGGTAGCACACCGGTTTAGTGCCAGCACTCGGGAGGCAGAGGCAGGCAGATCTCTGAGTTCAAGCCCAGCCTGGTCTACAAAGGAAGTTTCAGGTCAATCAGGGCTATGCAGAGAAACCCTGTCTGGAAACACACACAAACAGACAAAATGGGACAAAGATTGGCAGGACTCGGGGCTGATAGGGTGGGTATAAAGGCTGAGGGTCAGGGAGGAAACGGGACAGTCTTAAAATCAGCAGGAGTTTAAAGTATTCCCTCGGTCTTGTGGGCCCCAGAACCCTGTCCTGAAGCTCAGTTGTCTCTGTTATGAGGCTGGAGAACTGTCCTGTTTGCTACCAGCTTTGTCAAAGATGGGACCTCAGCTTTTTTTCCACCTTTGCGTGGGGCGGGGGGGCAGGCAAAGTCAAAGGTGGAGACAAGCGGGACATTGGTTCACAGGTCCCTGAGTCAGGAAAGACAGACTTAGCATTTGTCCAAATCCTCTGGTCTCCCTACCCCCAACCCCAGGATGCTAACTGCTTCAATCTCCGTGTTGGAGCCAGGAAATCAGAATCTAGCGACAGGCAAACTCTGCCAATCGCAACCATTGAAACGGTTACTGAGGTTAGGAGCTGGGGTGGGAAAGGCCTAGCAAAGCCCCAGGGATGTGATAGAGGACAAAGGAAGCGTGACATCATCCTTACTTATCTTGTGCTTGTGGGCAACCAAACACACAGGACAGAGGGAGCTGCAGCAGGGGAGATTTAACAGTGACTCCGCCTGCCTGTCAATCCCAGCACTCGGGAGCAGGAGGAGCTCCACAAGTTTGAGCCCCGTCCAGGCCAGGAAGGACTACATAGTGAATATCTCAAACACACACACACACACACACACACACACACACACACACACACACACACACACACAGTGCTGGAGAGATGGCTCAGTTAGTAAGGACAATTGCCTCTTAGCCTAGTGACCTGAGCATGATCCCTGGAACCCACCTGGTGGTATAAGCAACTTCCATAAATTGTTCTCTGACCTCCACACGCATCATAGCACACCAGTGCACGCACGCGCGCACACACACACACACACACATATACACGCGCGTATACACACACAGTATTTCTTTAAAAAAAAAATGATTCAGTCTGTAACTCCAACTCATTACTTCTTGCTTAAAAACGTTTATTTGAAAAGAATGAAAATTTACCCCCTGCAGCCTGGGCTAGAAGGAGCATGGAAAGCCTTCTAGTCTCAGGACTCTCTGGACCAGAAGGAAGTTCCCCCACCAGGACAGAGACCCCAAGTGTCACAGACACCTAAGCCCAGAGAACAGAAACTTTGGGACACCGACTTGAAAAGAACAATTCTTCCGAAAGCCTGTGAGGTCCAGTGGCCGAGACCACCCACAGGAGCCTCTAACTGCCCTTGGGCACCAGGATCTGCTGGACGTAGTTGACCACGTTGCTGTGGAGCTGGGAGGCAGTGGCTGCAAAGATGTCCTTGGCGAGGGTCTGAGCCATCTCGCTGCCACTCATCATGGTGTGATACAGGGGGAGGGTGTACTTCTGCTTTCCCTGTAACAAGACAGACACCTGCCCTCAGTGGCTTGCTCAGTGGCTCTGCCCAGCCCTCCTCCTCCAACAGCAGTCACGGGCTGAGGACAAGGGGGATGCTTGGGGGGGGGCGGGGCTGGAATGAAGTGCCTCTCTATCAGAAATACTGACTTTGGCATCTTCTAGGGGATGGAGAACGATCCTAGGGAGACCTCATGAATTTCAGCATGAATCCCAAATCATGGTGACCAGGGACTATCGACATGGCTCAAAACAAATGAGATGGGTTGACGCAGTGGAGACTGCAGACTTTTGGAAAGCTGGAGGCAGTTAGTTATTCATCAGAGTAATGACGGCCAATCCACAATGAAGCCGAACCCCCAAGAGCCAAATTCACATAAATGTACGGCATCTGCACGGCCAGCTCCTGAGCCCTAGAGGCTTGGCAACCGACCAGAGGGCTCAAGGAACCTCGCACGGACTTGTGGTCCCGCTGCACACAGGCTGCACTACAGAGAAAGCCACCTGAGCATTGCTTTGGATGCAGTCAGTCTCTCCTTGCTCTGGAGTCATGAGGATGCTCTGTTATCACCGGAGCCTTGTGCCCTAAAGGGCTACTCTCACAGAGACCCACCGGTGTCTGAACGGTTCCCGAGTCCCAGAGCTGCAGATGGCAGGGACCTAGCCCTTTCTCACCTTATGTGTCCTTTTGCATGGCCAGTCCTTCCTTACATCGCCCATTCATTCCCCTTCCTTCCCCACTTTCGGGTTAGCTCTAACTAGTTGGCTTCACCAGCTCCAAAATGCTCCCCAAGCCTGCAAACGCCTCTTCCCCAAGGACAAAGCCTCAGGGAGTCATACCAACACCACATGATCAGGGGGTCCTTCAGAGGCCAGGCCCCCCCCCCACTTCCTCTCAAGCGCAGACCCACACTGCTCTCACAGGCGCCGCCCACAGGAAGAACTTAGTTAGGAGTCATAACGGAGCCCACAGCCTATGAGCAGACCAGAGGTGGAGCTACCCACCTGGCTCTGCAGGAAGTCCTTCACTTTCCAGAACTCTTCTTGGTAATCATTCTTAAGGATGATTTGGCCCCATCTGAGCCGTAACTCAGCGTTCTGGGCATCTGAAATCTTCGGGTATGTCTCTCCAAGTTTTTTCACATTCCCTAGAGAAGACAAAGCACTCGGTTGCTAATGGCCATCTGAGGAGTCCAGAGGGTTCGTCGTCGTCAGGGATATTGAGTATCAGCCCTCCTGCTCTCCAAAAGCACTAGCAGCAGCATGAAGGAGATTCCCTTACCGCCCACCTTTTACCACCCATCCCGTTCAGCTAGTAAATTTGGATCCAACTTTGAAGTCTGAGTAACCTTATGTGCTAAAAGGTGACTCTGGTGGGGAATCTATTATTTCTGAAGGAAAGTGTCGGTGCATAAGATGACGTGGCTGGAGAGATGCTCAGTGGTTAAGAGCGTTGGCTGCTCTTCCAGAGGACCCGGGTTCAGTTACCAGCACCCACATGGCAGCTCACAACCACACGTAACCACCTCTTCTGGCTCCACATACATGGGACAGATATACGCACATACTCTTAAGTAAAAATAAATCTTTAAAGATAATTTCTATTACCTGGGGGTTGAGATCATAGCGCCCCCATCACAGAGTGACCATGAGGATTTGCTGGCCTAACAAACTGCTTACGGTGCCCTGTACCGTTCTGATGACCTATTCTTGTGAGGTGTCACCCTCCCTTCTACACTGGAGTCCCTTAGAGGCACGGTCGCTTCTGGGTCTCACTCTGGCCAGGATTGATTGTGGTAAAGAGGTAACCCACTGTCTTTACCCGGTGGGAGAGGGGACTTCTGCAGGATCTTATCTAGAAAGTAGACGAGCTGATAGGTCTTCCAGGTATCAATGGATACAGCTTCAATGGCTTGCATGTCTAGCTCTGAGGTCACCCACAGCTCGGCCAGCTCTTCAGCTGGCTTCATGAGTGAGTCTCCAGGTGAGAGGTCGGGGAGGTAGGGGGGCCAGCCAGGGGTGTTCAGCCATCGATCAAACTCAAAACCTTGTACGGCAAAGAAAAGAAGACATTGTCAGGGTTTCAACCACCAGCCAACATACCCAAGCAATTCCCCGGGCTGGCATCCCACCTCCCCATCCCAAATCATCCCATAGTCGGTGTCTCCTGCTCCAGCAGGGTCCTAGCTAGGATGGCATCTGGAGGCTGCCACTGTAAGACTGGACTGTGCTATGCCTGCTTCTGTGAGACTGGCTTTTTGCTTTAAAATTGACATTCTGTCACCAAGTTCTAGATGCTCTCCTAGCTGTAGTCAAGTTCATGCCCTCTTCCTCATCACAGAGCACTATGCCTAGGCACCAGGGCTGCAGGCCTAAGCTGCCCGGCTTCCCATCCTAGCTCTGCTGTAACTATCCGGGAGGCCGAGAGCATGTAACTTTACTTGTTGGCGCCTGAGCTGTTTGTAAAGTCGGGGTGCTAGGCCCTACCTTAGTTGACAGCTGTGAGATTAAATGAGCAAATACACATTAAAAGCTTAGTGTTCTGCCTGGTGCATATAGTAAGCTCTTGGTAATTATTAACTATTGTTTGTTACAGTCTCATGACCTTGACATTCGGGCTCCCGACCAACAACACAGCGCTAGCTACCAAGGCTAAGACTGACTTTACCAAACCAACCAGAGTGATTCAGGGTTCACATCCCAACAAGGGGGTGTGTCTAATGGTCTGTCTGGGTCACAGCGGGGACATCCTCTCTGTTCTTTGAGGAAGTAGTACCTTCCCTGCTGACATCAGAGCAGCTGCCAGCTTTTCCCTCTGCTCACCGGGCCTGAGGAGATCTCACCACGAGCAGAGGTGACGGTCCCTGTTACTGACCTTCCTCTGATTTGGGCACCAGAGGTCACATCGATCCTCTGGGAAGAGCCAAAAAGTCAGCCTGTCTCTGCTTCTCTTTCTTCCTGAGACAAGGCCTCACATAGCCCACACCGGCCTTGAACTCACTGCAGCCAAGGGCCGCTTCTCAACCCTGACCCTCTTGTCCCCACCTCCCAGGTGCTGGGGTTGCGGTCATGCCCAAAGTTTTTCATTTTTTAATCTTTTGACTTGACCTCACCAGGTAACTCGGGCTGGCCTTAGAGTTATCATGGCCATGGGCTGCCGTGGGCTCTGAAGTGTGGGCTCTGAAGTGTGTGAATTCAACTGAAAAACAGGCTTTTTGTTTGCTTTTGTGTTTTAGTGCTGGGGGTCAAACCCAGGTCATCATACATGACAAGCAAGCGCTCTACCTACTGAGCTACACTGCCTACCCAGGAAGTCAAAGTCCCCGCCAACCCCCTTTCCCTGGGGACTGAGTCTGGGGACTTGCAGATACCAGACATGTGCACTGCCCTGGACGGCTCTGTGGAACCCAGCCTGGGCTGGCTCTCCAAATGCTGCTTGAACAGGAACCTGTAACTCGCTATTTCCCACCTCACCTTGCCCATTCTCCACTGCTCCCTGGATGGCAACCGTCCACTTTCCCTGCTTACCTGGAATGGAATCTACTCTCTTCTTCTTTAGCTCAGGGAAATACTCCAGGTAGAATTCCAGAAAATCTTCGGCCAAGATACTTTGGAATTTAAACTCATCCACATAGGCCTGTGTGGAGGGAAGTGGTTGTGGCCTCTCTGGCCACCCCGGGGAGCAGAGCCCCCACCTCTCAGGCCCTCCTGACCCCTCACCTACTGCGCACACCCCCCTTCCTCCCCCCTCCCCCCACCTCTACCCTGGCACTCTGGCCCAGCCACTTTATTTGCTCCTTGCCTTCTCCCCTCACGGAGGTACCTTGAGGAACTTGTCAAACTGATCCTGGTCGCCCACCAGGTGGGCCAGGTATGAGACAAAGCAGTACCCTTTCTCGTAGGGGGTCTCATTGTAGGTGTCGTCGGGGTCCACGCCTGGCAGAGGAGAGAGCGGACAGTGTGTGTAAACATCATCCACATTGCTCTTCTCCGGCTTTGAGTACAGGCTAACTTGAAATTGTTCACACTGCACGTTCCCCAAGCACAACCAAGGTTTCTAGGCGGCCGACGGCCTCCCATCAGCGAGGGCCAGGAGTATGGATCTAAGAAAAGGCCAGGGAGATGCATGGCTCCAAGGGGGCTAGCGCATTTCCTTGGGCAGGGCCTTCAACTAACTCCCAGGGCCGAGCATGCTCAGACTTTTCAGGTCCTGTTGGTCATCGTCCTCACAGCCAACCTTCCAGGTGTTGTTTTTACAACTATCCTAGACGAAAGCTAATTACCAGGGTACCAGAAGGTCATTTTACAGTCAGTGGCACCAAAGAAGGCGGGCTTTGGTTGCACAAAGGGCTTGAGGTTAGTCACACATGAAACCAAAGAAAATGCTAGAAAGCAGGAAGTTCTGAGGTGACAGGCACTTGACCTTGGGCGGGTCAGTGCACTGGCTCTGGGCTTGTCTTTGTAAAATGAGGCTAACACTCTTCTCGAAGCCTCGCTTACGAGACAAGGATAAAAGGAACGGAGAGCAACGGCCACGTCACTAAGGACTTGGTGGCTGCAATGGTTGGACTCAGGCAGCCTACAGAACGGGCCAGAGTATCCCACTTCTCTAAGAAAGCATTCCAATGTGTGGCTCAGACGAACTTGGGGCTCAAGCGTTAATTTACTGGACTGGGGGGGGGGGGAGGACAGAGGAGACTTGTGGACCTGGTTCGATCTTCACCCGCAGCTTGTTGAGCGGGTTTTCCTCTCCAGAGATGTCCATGTGTTGCCGCAGGAGAGCTCGCCCTGTTGCAGCCTCCAAGCACGTGTAAGCAGCTCCTGGCCAAAAACAAACCACGGACCCCAAGTTCACCATGTCCACATATCTCCCTGACAGAGGCGCTGTGCTGTCCTCACCGGGTCCCAGGCTCAAAGGCATGCATGACCTTCCCCGGTGACACCCAAGCAACACAGCCCCTAGTTCTCCTGTTCTCTGGGCTACACAGGCTTGGTTAACCTGACCCCTGGGTCTTTCCCACAAGGACCAGAGGAGCATTTCTTTGTCTGCAGGAACGCATTTTATTTTTAAGTAGTAATAACTTGGTTTCTATGAAACCTAAAATATTTTTCCCCTGACGATCCCGGTGCACAAAAGAAACCATCACCTTAAAGAATCTGAAGCATCTAGGCAGGGTATGGTGGCACAGGCCTTTTTTTCTCATCCAGCTCCAGGGAGACAGGAAGGTAGCTCTCTGTGAGTTTGAAGCCAGCCTGGTCTAAGTTGTGAATTTCAGGCCATCCAGGGTTACATTGTGAGACCTTGTCTCAAAAAAAGGAAAGCCGGGCAGTGGTGGCCCACACCTTTAATCCCAGCACTCGGGGGAAGAGGCAGGCGGGTCTCTGAGTTCAGAGCCAGCTGGGTCTACAGAGGGAGTTCCAGGACAGCCAGGGCTACACAGAGAAACCCTGTCTGGGGGTGGTGAGGAGTGGTGTGAAAAGGAAAGAATTAAGCATCTTTTAAGTTTTCTCGTGGCTTGCAAACAGTAGCTTGAGAGCCAGGGACATGGCTCAATGGGTAAAGGTGCTGGTTACCAAATCACCAAGCCCGATTACCTGCAATCAATCACCAAGATTCCTATGGCAGGAGAGAACTCCAGAAAGCTGTCGTTTGATTTCCACAGAAACACTGGGTCTGTGTCCACACATGCCCAACATGTACACACAATTCAACTCTGCCACTTACTACATGCTCTGACTCTGAGTCTCCCTTAGCCTGTTTTCCCCCCCTTACATTATGGGAAAATAAAAGTTGTACCATAGTCACAGTCAGAGATCTGACAACCATGCCCAGGTTGCTTCTCTCTCTCTCTCTCTCTCTCTCTCTCTCTCTCTCTCTCTGTATATGAGTATACACCAGAAGAGGGCATCAGCCAGCTGTGAGCTGCTGTTTTGCTGGGGGGAGGGTGTGGCTGGGAATTGAACTCAGGACCTTTGGAAGAGCAGTCTCTGCTCTTAACCACTGAGCCATCTCTCTCCCCAGCTACACCCTCCCCACCCCGCCCGAGCCCTTTTCAAAGACAGGGTCTTACTATTTGACCCAGGCTGGCTTCAAACTTGTGACCTTCCTGCTTTAGTTCCCTAGTGCTAAGGATGCAAACGTGTGAATCACCGCGCTCAGTTTGCCACAGGAGTCTTAGCGGCTGATTACGACATTCACAAACAGATCCTGCTCTGAATACTTTGAATAAGAGTACAACTCTGTTCAAAGTTTGGGGAATTAAAAGAAAAAACATACTCCTGGCCTACAGAGTAAGTTCCAGGACAGTGAGAGCTGTTACACAGAGAAACCTTCCTGAAAAAACAAAACAAAACAAACAAAAGCCTGTACAATGCTCAGACCTGGAGGTGATGTTTCTATCAAAGGCATGCTTAGGGAGGTCATCTGAGGTATGCACTAATGTGGGTATATAAAAATGGCTGTTGAAGCTGGGCATTGCTGACACATGCCTTTAATCCCAGCACTCAGGAGGGAGAGGCAGATGGATCTCTGTGAGTTTGGGGCCAGCCTGGTCTACAGAGCGAGTTCCAGGACAACAACTTCCAAGCTACACAGTGAAACCCTGTCTCAAAAAACCAGACTGTTGAAACACTTTGTTCTTCTCATTTTGAGACAGGGTCTTGTGTAGCCCAGGCTGGTCCCACTAGCCTTGGAATCTGAGTGTGGGACAGAGCCCAGAGCCACCTGTATGCTAGGCAAGCACTGGGCCATTAAGCTAGTGAACTTTATTACACCTTCAGTCCACCTGCAGTGCTGAGGATGAATCCCAAGGCCTTGTGATGCTAAGCAATCACTCCACCAAGTGGGCAATATTACCAGCCCAAACTCCATTAAATTTAATGGATGTTTTAAAATTCTTTTATTTAGTAATTGTATTTTTTGAGAATTTTTTTTCTCTTCTGAGACAGGGTTTTGATGGGGACTGTCCTTCTGTATACATGTTTCTCTTATTGGTTGATGAATAAAACACTGACTGGCCAGGCAAGGAGTACAGATGGGTCTACAAGAGACTGGGAGACAGGATGTGCCAGGCGATCTCTGGTAAGATAAGGCCATGTAGGAATATATAGTAGTTATGGGATAATAATTCAGACAGAGCCAGGCAATAAGAAGCCTAAGCAACCGGCCAACAGTTTTATAATTAATACAGTGTCTGTGTGCTTATTTGGGAGTGCAGGGCAGTGGGACCCGGCAGGACAGAAACCTCCGTCTTCAGGGTTTCTTTGTGTAGCCTTGGCTGTCCTGGAACTCGCTCTCTAGACCAGGCTGGCCTCAAACTCAGAGATCCACCTGCCTTTGCGTCCAAAGTGCTGATTAAAGGTGTGTACCACCAACACCCATCTCAAATTAAAAACTTTTTAAAAAATATTATGGTTTAAAACCATAGATGTGAGCACAAATGATATAGCATATGCCTTTAATTACAGCCCTCAGGATGCAGGGGCAGGTGCATCTCTGATCTATATAGTTAGTTCCAGACCAGCTAAGAGATGTACAATGAGACACTGTCCCAAAATGAAAACTAACAAACAAAACCCGTGTCTGGTCTTTCCTACTCACATATAGAAATTGACCTGGGCATAATAGCACACACATGTAACCCAGCATTTAGGAGGCAGGGGTGCTGTGAATTTGACCTGCTCTACAGAGAGAGACTTCCAAACCAGAAGAGCCTGCCACCACCCCTCAGTTCTGGAGACTGAGCCCTGGTGTGAAATGTCCTTCTGCTGAAGAAAGCTGTTTTGGCCTACGGCAGGGCAGAATAGATAAAGCAAGGCGGGAAAGCCAAACTGAAGACAGGGAGAAAGAAGGTGGGGTTGGAAGAGATGCCATCGGGCCACATAAGGAGTACCGCTGGTAAGCCGTGGGCCACGTGATAATTCACAGATTAATAGAAATGGGTTAATTTAAATGTGAGAGCTAGCCAATAATAAGCCTGAGCCATCAGCCAAACAACATTAAGTGGCTTCGGAACCGTGCAGGACACATAAGAGCTTCCAGCTACAGAACCCAGGACTTTGTGCCTGCCAAGCAAGCTCTTTTCTCACTGAGCTAATGAACTCTGTCCTCAGCCCAAGACCTTCCTCAAGAAAGCCCCGAAGTGCCGGGCATCATGGCTCACGCCTTTCATCCCGGAACCCAGGAGGCAAAGGCAGGTGTATGTAGATGTAGGTGGTCTATGTGAACTCAAGGCCAGGCTGGTCTACACAGTGAGTTCTAGGCCAGCCCTCTGTGAGATCTGTCCCAAATAACAACACAACCAATAAAAAACAAAAGAAGAATTAAAAGGGGCTGGAAAGATGGCTCAGTAGCACCTTCTAGCCTTCTAGAGAACTCAGGTTGGCTTCCCAGCACCCAAGTCAGGCAGCTCACAACTGACACTAACTCCAGATACCTCTGACTCCAAGGGCAGTGAGCCACATGCAGACACATAACCCTACATACAATTCTTAAAACATAAGTGAAGGAAAAAGAAGAGAAAGAAAACAGAATAGAATATGTTTTCTTTTCCTTTCTGTGCTTTTCCACACATGCCAAACAGATCTTGTTTAAAAATAATAATGAAGCTGGGCGGTGATGGTACATGCCTTTCATCCCTGCACTCAGGAGGCAAAGGCAGGGGGAATCTACAAAAAAAAAAAGTTCTACCACTTCGAGCTTGTAGTATATAGCAGCCTCTTCTTAATTCCCTAATGAGACAGCACAAAAGCTTTTGGTCTTTTTTTTTTTTTTTTTTTAAAGCTCATACATGACCAGGGCACATGACTCAGTAGAGCCCCAGGAAGCCGGAAGCTTAGGGTCCAGTCCTCAGCATCTTATAAAACTGACATGACAGGACATACGATGGTGCATGCTTGTAAACCCAGCACTTGGGAGGTAGAGGCAGGAGGGTCAGGAGGAGTTCAAGATTGCCTACGACTGCACAGGGAGTTTGAGGTTAGCATGGGATATAAGAGAACTGCCACTAAGAGAGAGAGAGGGGAGGGAGGGGGAGGGAGAGGGAGGGGGAGGGAGAGGGAGGGGGAGGGAGGGGGAGGGAGGGAGGGGGGAGGGAGGGAGGGAGGGAGGGGGAGGGAGAGGGGGAGGGAGAGGGGGAGGGAGAGGGGGAGGGAGGGAGAGAGGGAGGGGGAGAGGGAGGGGGAGGGAGAGGGGGAGGGAGGGAGGGGAGAGGGAGGGAGGGAGAGGGAGGGGGAGAGAGGGGGAGGGAGGGGGGAGGGAGGGAGAGAGGGAGGGAGGGAGTGCACGTGCAGCAAGGCAATGAGTAATGACGATGGTTTATGTTTCACTCACAAATCAACCAGCCATCTGGGGCAATTGGCTCTAGGAACTCTCATCTAGGAGCTGTGTCTGCTTGGGGATGTGTTGGCATCCACGTGACCCCCCAACGTAGAGAGCAATTTCACTGTCAGTTTAAATCACAGTTCATACTGCTTGCAGTGGCACAAAGCAGAAGGGGAATTAAATTTTAAGATTCAATTATTATGTACACCTGCAGGCCAGAAGAGGGCGCCAGATCTCATTACGTATGGCCGCGAGCCACCATGTGGTTGCTGGGAACTGAACTCAGGACCTCTACAAGAGTAGCCAATGCTCTTAACCTCTGAGATGACTCCCCCAGCCAGGAACTGTTCTTAAATTAAAAATTTCCATTCCATAGTCTGGAGAGATGGCTCAGAGGTTAAGATCAGTGCCTGTTCTCCCAGAGGTCTTGCGTTCAATTCCCAGCTACCACATGGTGGCTCATAACTGTCTATAGTGGGATCTGACGCCCTCTTCTGGCATAAAGGTGCACATGCAGACAGAGCCCGGATACACAAAATAAATTTTAAAAATAAAATGAAAAGTTTCCAAGTAGGTTTAGCCCTCGATGGTCCCTTCACCTGTGATTTGTGCCTAAGTCCCTCCTCCCTTCAATGCCCGCCCACACCCACCGTGAAACCACAGGAGTAAGAATGGGCCAGGTTCTTGGAAGGATGGCGCCTTACCAAACAGGACGGTAGAGATCCTCCTCTGGGCATACATGGTGAAGCCTTCATTGAGCCAGAACTCCCCCCAGTTGGCATTGGTGACCAGATTCCCAAACCAACTGTGGGAGATCTCATGGATGATGACATCAGCTAAGGAGCGGTCCCCTGCCAGCAAGCAGGGGGTGACAAATGTCAGACAAGGATTCTCCATTCCTCCAAAAGGAAAGGATGGCGGCATGAACAGTAAATCGTACCTGCCAAGAAGCCCACGTCAGTCACAAGAGGCCCTGACTCTCTGGACCACGCCTCACCTCCCTGTCCCCTTTAGACCCAGGGCTGCAGCCATTGAAGCCCAGCGCTGAAAATGGAGCCTGGGCTCTGGGTCCTTCCCTACCCTTGTGTTTGCTCTCCTAAAGGCAGCCATGCCTGCAGCTTGAAGACGTTGGAGTAGCCTCCCACAAAGAGGAACGGCATGCTCACAAAGGCCCGGATTTCTCCACTTTACCCCCATTTCTAGCTTGGCAGAGCACTTCAGAACCCATTCCTCCCAGGTCCCGTTGGCAGCCACTAGTAGCCTGGCTCATCCCTCCCTCCCCACTTCCTCCTGCCCTGTTTCTGGGATCAGAAAGCCTTGCTCTAGGAGACAGAATGAAGGGAGGCAGCCCCAGGAAGGTAGAAAACAGCTACTCAAGTTTCACAAAATCCATCTCTTAATTGATACCGCACCTTCCCCAAACATAGGGTCCGAAAAGTTTCTCTCCTGTCGCCAGGAATTCTTCTACGACACCATTGTACTCCTCCTTGGCAGCTTCAATTAGGCAAGGCTCTGCCCACACCCGGCTCCTAAGCACACAGAGGTAGAAGGATGCTCAGTGAATGTTGTTGCGGCCGCAAGAACCTCCCGCAGAACACTATCCTTGGTCCCATTGATACGGGACAGGAGAGACGAGAACACACTGCTCAGCCCCACAAGGCTGCTCATCACGCTGGGCTAGGCTGGGTCACAAGGAAGACCCTGTCTCAAGATACCAACCAAAGAGCAAAGAGGAAAACAGGCGAGGAGAGAGAAATAACGCCACCATCAGGGAGGCAGGAACAAAAAGTTAAGGCTGAGAAAGGCCAGGGCTTGGGCCAAGCCCATTTAAGGATGAGCTGACGCGAGAGTCAGGGCTCCTGGAACCAAGGCCTGAGCTTCAACCTAGCGTAAATCTGTAGTCTTAGCTTCAGTTTGACCATCTACAAAGCAGATACAAATATTATCACCCTCACTGAGTCTGGGTAAAGATTGGGAGGGATCACACTGGGGTATACCCTCTATTTTCTACCCGGCATCCTCTTGTGGTGCCTGGGGCTACCTGGGCTAGGAGGAGCGCTGTGGAAGAAGACCCCCATGTTTAATATACAGCATGAGGCCCTCGCATGTGAACAAGGGCTGCCCACCCGACAGGGGAAAAGGAAGACGTCATCAACACTAACTACCTCACTTCTTTTTGCTTTGGTTTTTGAGACAGGGTTTCCTGTAGCCCACGCTGTCCCCCCCAACTATGTGGCGAAGGATGACCTTGAACTGTGGATCCTCCTGCCTCCACTTCCAAAGTGGAATTTTACAGTACTGAGCCACCACACCTGGCATGTGCAGTGTTGGGGCTCAAACCCAAGGCCTCATGCACGAAAGGCAAGCGTTTCATTAACTTAGCTGCATTCCCTAAACCATCACCATCACATATCACGTTACCTCATTTGGCATGCTTTTGGGTCAGTTTCTTACAGAGGGTTCAAAAGAATCATCATTATGGGATATTCTTAGAACCTGTCATATTAACCATTGTGATTTGTTCATATAGAGTCCTCTGCCTACTTCACTCTTGGGTACAGAACATTTGTTAGGGCAAACACATCCTCAAACAACACACCTTTTCTTATCTTTTCCTGGTTGCAAAGATGACCTCCCTGTCCATTAGTAAGAGGGCAGCACCTTGTTTTTTGATACTGGCCTTGTAGTGCTGGGGTTAGCTCAGGGTTAGAGTCCCATCTAGCATGCTTAAGGTCCTGGGTTTGACGCCCAGGACACCAAAACAACAGTCAGGACCAGCACTGTTTTGAATGTGTGGGCTGTACGCAGGTATCAGCGGAATCCGGCTTATTATACCACTGACACCTAGGAGCTGATGTCATTCCTGGATCCCTAGGGCTGCAGGGCCTTGCTGTAAACTCGCTTGTAATAAATCGTATGGAAGATACCACTGCCTTCAGAGCTGAGGTGCAACAAGAAAGCCAAGAAAGGGGACTCTGCCTTGCAATCCAACCTTTGACCCTTTCACAGCTGGACTAAGCAAGCTGCAGAGGTAGATGATATGAACATAAACCCATTCTCTTGCTTTTAGACAGGCTGTATTATCCTATACAACCCTGGCTGGCTTTGAACTTGAGTCTTTCTATCTCAGTATCACTAGTAGCTGGAATTGCAGGTGTGTGCCATTATTCAGCTCATGGCAGAAGTTCGTGTCTCCAGAAACTGTACAAAGGCTGGGTAGTGGCATGCTCCTTTAATCCCAGCACTCAGGAGGCAAAGGCAGGCGGATCTCTGTGAGTTTGAGGCCAGCCTGGTCTACAGAGTGACTGTCAGGACAGCCAGAACCACACAGAGAAACCTTGTCTCAAAAGAGAAAGACAGAAACTTTACAAAATCCTTTTTTTTTTTTTTTTTTTTTTTTTGTCTCCATTAACTCTACCTAGGATCATGACAACAAAACATACATCTAGATTGAGGCATCAGCAGCAGGCAGAAAGGACAGTCCTTTCTCTCTTTAAAGGATGCAATGAGGCTAGGCAGTGGCGCTCAGCTTTAATCCCAGCACTCAGAAGGCAGAGGCAGTCAGAAGTTTGAGTTCGAGGCCAGCCTGGTCTACAAAGTGAATTCCAGGGCAGCCAGGACTGTGTCTCTGTCTCCAAAAACCAAAAAGGAGATTGAGATCAAAGCTATTTATTTCTAGAAACCAGTGCTAGAGAAAAATGGGCTTTGGCTTTGGCACAGGGATATAACACAATGGCTAGAAGGGCACTTACTACTTAAAGTTACTAGTCAACATCAGTCTTCTAGAACTACCGCCTAGGTACCGGCATCACTTGGTCGGGCAGCTGCTCTCACCCATGAGCCTCTGCAACAGCTCTAGCAGCTGCTGCTACTTACTTACTCTAGCAAGACTGGTGGTCTCGTAGCAGACAACAGGCTTAGATGTGGAGGGAGGGGGAAAGGAAGGAAGAAGAGAGAAAAATAATGTCCACCAGTCTCTTCAGGACCTGAACACCACAGATGCAAGGTTCCACACTGCCCCAAGAGCCACATTAGCAGGATCACTGAGCCAGAGTCGCCCCTGCCGAGTGTGTTTCTTACCTGGGTCCAACCTCAGCTGAAGCCAGATCTCCAATGGCCAAAGCTATCAGGTAGGAGGGGATGGGTTGGCCCATCTTGAAGAAGAACTTATTTGGACCTCTCTTCTCCCAAGTGCTTGCGCTCATCACAGCTGTGAAGCCATCTGGGACCTGGCAACAGAGAAAGTGTAGCAAGACTCACTTGGAAAGTGTCCTTGGTTAGTCTGGCTACTGTTCTTTCTGAGGCAAATTCTTGCTACAAAGCCCCGACTAGCCTGGAATCTCTGCTGTGCACACTAGGCTGACCTGGAACTTTGATGGTGTCCAGTGTGTGTGTCCGTCCCCTCCCCCACCCACCTGCATTACTTGAATTACATACATGCACTACCACACCTGGCAAGAAGGGCTCCTTTTGACTGACTTGAAGAACAGAAGGACCAGAGACCTGAATGGTGATGGTAACATCTCAGGGTTCATCCTAGAGCACAGGAAGGCTTAAAACACTTACACTGGTGACATTTGAACTGTGTAGACTCTGTGTCAATGGGCCAGGCATGGTAGCACAAGGCTTTAACACCAGCACTCAGGAGCCTGAGGTTCTCTGAGAGTCTGAATCAGCCTGGTCTACATACACAGTGAGCTCCAGACCAGCCAGGGCTACATGGTAAGATGCTGTCTCAAACAACATAGTCTGCAGGAGAGCCTTACAGGGGAGAAATTTTCAGATCCTGGATGAATGTAATAATTTACCAACCAAAATAAGACCTGATGGGTCTGAAATTATACTCTGTCTCTATCTTTCTCTGAGACAGGGCCTGATTGGGTGGCCTAAGCTAGCACTGAACTTATGGTTTTCCTTTTCTTTTGAGACAGCTCTGGCTGTCTTGGAACTCGCTCTGTAATCCAAGCTGGCCTCACACTCAGATGTCTGCCTGCCTTTGCCCCCTGAGTGCTGGGATCAAAGGTATGCACCACTAGCATCTGGCATGAACTCACTATTCTTATGCCTTTGCCTCTCAACTCAGGGATTATAGGCATGTGCGACAGTGCCTGGCTTCTTCTTCTTATTATTATTATTATTATTATTAAAAAAACAAAACAATTAGCTGGGCGGTGGTGGCTCACACCTTTAGTCCTAGCTCTCGGGAAGCAGAGGCAGGCTGATCTCTGTGAGTTTGAGACCAGCCTGGTCTACAAGAGCTAGTTCCAGAACAGCCTCCAAAACTACAGAGAAACCCTGCCTCAAACAAACAAACAAAACCCCAAAACATTTACTTTATAATGTCATTTGTTTGCTTTTTTAAAGATTTGTTTTATTTTATATATATGGGTTATTTTGTCTGCATGCATATATTTGCATACCATGTGCATGGCTGGTACGTTGGATCCCCTGGAACTGGCGTTACAGAGAGTTGTGATCTACCATATGGATGCTGGGAATTGAACCTGGAGGAAGACCCAGTGCTCTTAACCACTGAGCCATTTCTCTAGCCCCTATTTTGATATGTTTTAATTACATGTAGGTATGTGTGTGTGTCTGCATGTGGGTACATGCTCATAAATGAAGGTGCCCGTGGAGGTCAGAGGTGCCTAATCCCCTGGAAATAGTGATAGACAGTTGTAAGCCACTGGATATGGGTGCTAAGAACCAAACCAGAGTCCTCCTGAGGAACAGAAAGTGCTCTCAACTGCTGAGCCCCTTCTCATTCATGACCCCAAGGGCAGGCACACTGAGTTAAGCCACCTTACCTCAATAAGAGCTGAATACGTGCATTTCACCGCAGGAGTGTCGAAGCAAGGGAAAAAGGCTCGGTTTAACACGGCCTGACCCTGGGTGTAGACAAAGGGTTTCTTCTTTCCTGCTGTCTGCTCAGGAGCTAACCAGCAAACCTAAGAAAACAGAGAGGCGTTTCAGAACACACAGCTCACGAACAGAAAGGAACGGGCTGATGAGGGACATTTTCAGGTAATTCTCAAGATCTTCCTGCCAGCCAACCTGTCTCTGACTGGAATGTCCCTTTCTGTGTGTATTTATCCTACCCTGGAATATGCCATGGTCTCATGCCCACATCACAGGGCAGACACTTCCTTCCCCACCGTATCCCATGGCGCCTGGGGAATCCTCTGACGGGGATTACATCCTCTTCTGTGCCCTCACTGCTGTAGGATTTCCCATCTAACCAGTATTCTGCACTTCTGACAGAAGAGCAGAACCAGCCAGGGGTAATGGGCTTGTCCTTTGTTGTAGTTCATTTGTTTTTTGTTTTTAACAGTCTTCATGGAGCACATGCCAAGCCCAGTTTTCTTTTTAGTAATACTTCTGAGGCGCTCAGTTCATCGGTGTAGTAAGGCAACTCCTAGTCTCTCCCATATCTGGGTAGACTGGCGGCTCTCCCCTTTAAGATATCTCTTCCAGTGACCCTTTAGAAAAGTCCAGAAGGGGGATGCAGACCTTCCTTAGTACAGGTATGGTGAGACATCAGGGTACCTTGGTGTCTGACACAGCAGAACAACCCATTGGCAACACAAGGATATGCAATGACAAACTCATTCTGACCCTCAGAAGACACAGTTTCCAAGGCACAACTGTAGTTTCTTGGTTTCCCCAGATCTCCTTTTTGAATACCCAAGGTTATGATTGATGTGGCTGTCTTAGTTAAGAAAGCTAAGGCTTTACCATGATGGGACAGACCTTACTTTTGCCCATAGCAAAAGGAAACCATATATAACACTATTCTAGGAAGGGTTCAGAGGTGAAGTAAAACTGTCTGATTAGTCAGTCCTTTAAGGACAAGCAAGAGTCAGATGTTGGAAGGGACGAAAGAAGTCTTTCTCCAGCAGGTGAGTGGGGGAAGACAGTCTGGATGCAGCGCTGGGAGCTGCGTAGGCTCTGGAGAGGCTGGTAGGAGGCACTCCCAAGGAGACAGAAGAAAAGGCTTTGGAAACAAGGATCCGGGACATTTTAAAGATGCAGAAGAAAGCCACACTGGATGTTGGGTCTTTCTGCTTTTGTCCAAGTATAATAAATTCAATTAGTCTTCCAATAAATACAGTGCAGTGTGAAAGGCAGCTGACACAGTAGAAAAAGGTCAGCACAGTCAGGTGGCACATTACCTCTGCATTTCCCCTCTACAATACACAATTCCCACCTAGTCACCAGGAAAATGCCTGAAAATTTCCAGTAGAAGGACATTCAATCACATGTCTGCACAGCACCCTCCAAATCGTTAAGGTCATTTAAAAAAAAAAAAAAAAAAAAAAAAAAAAGGAAAATTCCAGGCAGTGATGGCGCATCCCTTTAATCCCAGCACTCGGAGGCAGAGGCAGGAGGATCTCTGAGTTCGAGGCCAGCCTTGTCTACAGAGGGAGTTCCAGGGCTCCAAAGCTACACAGAGAAAACCTGTCTTGAAAAACCAAAAACCAAACATCAATCAAACAAATAAGTAAGCAAACAAACAAAACCCCCAAAAGAAAACCAAAGAATAATCTGGGAAACCCAAAAATGTACAACTAGCTGAGTATAGTGAGGCAAGCCTGTTAATCCCACCACTCGGGAGGAGTTCGGGGCAGCCAAGGATACACAGAGAAACCTTGTCTCGAAACCTGCCAACCCTCCCCCCACCCCCTGCAACAACAAAAAAGATACAGATAGCTACAATGTGCTGCTTTGGCTGTGCAGAAAAAGAATAGATAAAAACCAAAACAAAAAGCTAAGACCATAAAGCCTGTGGCACCTTGTTAGTACGGACAGTTAGTGTGTATCAGTATTGACCGAACTGAGCTAAGGGAGAAAAGGATAGTGTAGAGGGCAAGGAAGAGCTGAGTACTATCTGCTCAGTTACACTGCTAATCTGCCTTTTGTTTTTATTTTAAATTTGCTAATCTCCTTGCTTCAACTTCCTGAGCACTGGGATTCCGGGCATGTATCAGGCACTTATATAAAGAGAATTCACCCAATTTTGTCAAGTACTTAGACAAATGCCTAGCATATGTCAGGAAACCCTGTTCACTATCTCTCTATCACCATCTATGAGATTATACATACAGGTATGTATGTATACATTACACACACGTATGCACATATTGCTTTGTTTGTTCTTAAGAAAACACAGCGATGCAATGAAGAGGCCTGACAGTATGTGCACTACAGACCATGTGAATTCTGGGAGAAGAGGCTGCAGTGCTTGGGTGAGAACCCTCTGCAAAGGACAGGAATGCATGCTAATGCCTCCATTGAAGACCTTCACAGCCTTTGTAAAGCAGAGAGCAGCCACAGCCACTAACGTTAGGTGCCCCCTTCAGACTGGGCAAATTTAGGGACGGTTAATTTTTAATGAATTGCTAGCTCCCAATGAGAATTAAGAATCAGCCAGGCAGTGGTGGCTCACGCCTTTAATCCCAGCGCTTAGGAGGCAGAGGCAGGCAGATCTGAGTTCGAGGCCAGCCTGGTCTACGAAATGAATTCTAGGATGGTCTCACAGAGAAACCCTGTCGGGGGAAAAAAACAAAAAGCAAAAACAAACAAAACAAAGGGAAAAGGGGAAAAAAAGAAAAGGAAAATTAGAAACCAAGATATTAGAAACCAAAGCTGTTTCCTGATGCCAAGCTTCCCTCTGGGCACCGAAGGGGACTTTCCTTGACCTTTGGGGCCACATGGTTCCGTGTGACTTTGACTTTCAGTTTCCCTAACAAGTTCCACCACCACAAGGCTGGCTTATATCCCTCTAGTCTTAGAAGCAGGAAGTGGGGCTGCTCTTTGCGCCCGCCCGTTGGAAGAGCAAGGGGAACTGCTAGCTGGGTAAGCAAGCTCCAAGAGTCTGCAACAAGCTTTTGTGAACCTTGTAACCCAGCCTAGGGCTGTCACTCTTAGGGATGTCCGCTGCATACGGTTACCCTTAACTTCCAGTATTTGTATTAACCGGCCAACCGAGAAGCCCAGATTATTATAAAGCCCAGAGTACCAATTACACATTCTCACTCTTGCTCAGATTCTTTTAAGTCCAATGCAAGATTTCAAAGGAGGAAGAAAACGTAATTAATTATCTAGGCTTCAGGGCTGTTTTAACCTGTACGACAAGAATGGCAGGATGATAAAGGGCCGTGTCAGCATCTAGCTAACTAACCAACACTGTCCAGACTCCATCAAGGACAATTACATATAAAACAAACAAAGTTTGTGTGTGAAGTTCCTCATCCGGAGAAAGATACGCGGGGTAGTGGAGAAGTGGTTTAGCACGTGTGTGACAGGCAGTCTAAGACAAATCCACAGACAGTGGCCCAGGAAGCGAGAAGGAGCGGCAGGAGGAACGCAGCGCCGGCTGGAGAGGTCCGAGCCCAGGGTGGGGACCCGGGAGCCAGAATGCAGAGCGGCTACCGGGGAGCAGAGTGAGCGCCCGCGGATCTCCCGCGGAAGCTGCACAGCAAGGCCAGGGTTGCTGCTCCGGGGCTGCGGGCAGCTCAGGGGCCACCCCGGGAGGGGAGGGCAGGGAAAGGCCGGTGGCCCTGGCGCGCGGCGCGCACTCACCCCGGGTCCCTCCCCGACGCGGTACGTGAGCTCCAGCTGGAGGCGCTCGGCGGGGCGGCAGGGCTGCGGGAAGTCCACGCACAGGGCCTGGCCATAGTGCGAAAAGGGTTGCGTGTGGAACGGCACGGTCTCCGCGGGCGGCTGCTGGTCTTCGGGCTGCCCCCGCCGCAGCGTCGCCGCCGTCACCTCCAGGCAGCTGTGTGAGTCCAGCCGCAGCTCCGAGGCGCCCTCGGGCAGCAAGCAGCGCAGCTCCAGCGCCACCGTGCCGCTCAAGCCGCGGCTTCCCGGTCCCGGTCCCGGAGGCCCGAACTCGGCCCGCAGGTCCAGGTGCAGGTGCAGGATCTCGAAGGCGCGGAAGCTGGAGGCCGAGGCCACGTCCACCGCCTGCGCCGAGTGCAGCGGCCGCCGGGCCACGCCGCCGTGGCTGCCGGGCCTTCGGCTCTCCATGGCTCCTGAGCGGTTGCTCACCCGCCGGGAAGACGAGGCTCTCCGCGGGCCCCGGCAGGCTCCGCCTCGAGGCGACGCGCCACCGTGGGCCCCGCCCCCGAGGATTGCGGGCGGCCACCGCCCCTAGCAAATCTGGGCCACAATCTGTCCCCTCCCTTGCTGCTCACAGCCCACCCCCCTGGTTCACGCGGCTTCCCAAGCCACCTGGCGACCGAGGACGGTGGTGTGGAGGGTCGCGCTTTGCCCACCCAGGTCCTCATCCTCCGAAGGATGCCGGGGACAGAACCTGGATTGGAAGGGTCTGTGTCTGAAATCTCACTCACTTTCTCCCCTGGGCCAGTTATTAAGACGATGGCTGACCTCTTGGACAAACTGCCTGTAAAACAACAGGAGTTGCAGTATCGCCTAGTGAGCAGCCGCCCCATCCCTCTGTGACCCGAGGCACGCGGACCCTCGTTAATGAGTTTTGTGCCAGAAGCAGGGACTTTCCTGTTGTTCCGTTGTATGTATATATTCCTACATGCGTTACATTTTACTTGTCTCTATTTTTAAGTTTTTATGTGTATGGGTGTTTTGCCGGCATGTATGTGTGCTGAGTACCTACAGGAGCCAGAAGAGGGAGTCGGATCCCCTGGAACTGGAGTTACAGGTTTTGGAAATTGGCATTTGAGTGCTGAGAACCAAACCAGGTCTTCAACCAAGTGCTCTTAACTGCTCCCTACTCTACATTTTATTTATTTAGTGGAACTGGAGTTGCAGACAGTTGTGAGCTGCCATGTGGGTGCTGGGAATTGAACCTGGGTCCTCTGGAAAAGCAATCAGTGCTCTTAAACCACTGAGCCTCCAGCCCCTAAAGTTTATATTTTTCAGTGAGTTCATTAAGGCTGGGCTAGTTAGGCCTCACTAGCTATTGAAATAAATAATATGTAACCCTTTTTAAAAAGTATGCTACTATGTAGTCCAGGGTAGTCTCAAACAGGCAATCCTGCATCAGCCTGAGGAGTTCTGGGATTACACCACTCTGACAATATTGTTTACAGGAGTTGGATCAAATCTAGGGCCTTAACGTATCCTAGGCTGCACTGTAAACTTAGACTAAATTCTCATGCCTGCACTGTAAACTTAGGGCTCATTACATGCCACTTGTATTTTCCTTGTGTGTCTCAGTTTATTGACCTAGGCTCATCTCTACATTTCCTCTTTCGTGCCAGAGCCATGCGGTGGCCACAGATGGAGACATGATGTACAGCCGTTCCCTAGAGGTGGGAACTTTCCGCCATAGAGGAAGAAAGGAAGTCATACTTAGGTGGCTCAGAAAGTGCAAGGCTATAAAAGGGGCAGGGTGGTGGTGACTGGTCTTGGTCCTAACACTAGGTGGAGGTCTGTGAGTTCGAGGCCAGCCTGATCTACGAAGTGAGTTCCAAGACAGCAGAGCTGTTTGTTACACAGACAAACCCTGTCTGGAGAAACGGGAAAAGAAAAGAAATAGTGAGCATGTTAGGGAGAGGACACTCTGGGGGAGCTGTGTGTGGGGAAGTTTCTTTGGCCAGTCCACAGTGCACTAGCCACACTAAATACATGTTTATGTTCTCCATTTTCTATCTAAAGATGAAATTTCCCCCAGTACTTGAGGTGGGCCCTAGAGTCACGTGCTAGGCAAACGATTTGACACTGAACGACATCCCGTAGCCCCCTCCTTCCCACTTTGAGACAAGGTCTTGTTAATACAGCCCTGGCTGACATAGACCTCTCCATGTAGAGCAGCAGGTCTCGAACACAGAGACCCACCGGCCTCCGCTCCTTGACTGTTGTGACTCATGTCTCACATGCGTGCATCTTTTTCCTAACACAGTGCAGTAAGGGGTCCCAGTGGCAGGGACAACCAAGTAACACCAGAGCACTTGTGTACGATTATATTGGTAAAGCGTTACATGCTGTTTAAGCTTACCGAGAAGCTGGCTCAGGAAACTTGGCCCCTCCACCTCAAGTCCAAACGTGTTTAAATTGTCCTCCCAACTTGCCCTGTCCTGGGTCAGGTGCCCACCGCCCCAACCTGTCAACTACATAAAGGGGAGAAAAATGGCAAGCAGCTAAGTGTACCTAAAAACACCGAGTCCTTGAACCACTTGAAGGTTCACTATTTCCAACAAAAAGTTCTGTTTATCCCATCTGTTAAAAATTCCTGGGGAAGGGTGGGGAAACTTATCCAGGAAAAGCAGCTAGATCAGGGATTCCATCGGCCTCCTGACCTCCCTAGCCAGTTCCTGCTGGGTGTTTGGAAGCCCTCGTTTGATGCTATCATTGCCTTCTGACCCCACTACTCCAGTCGTGGCTGCTGGATTTGTAAGGGCTAGGTCTGATGATGGTGGGCTGCTGTTCCCTATTGGATCCTTTGCTTTGCTTGCTGCATGCCTAATGAATAAGCTCACTCATCTGAAACAGAGCGTGGCCACCATGTTTCTCCAGACGGTATAGGACAACGTGGCACCTAGACTTTGGACTCTAGTATTTATTCTCCGATAAAAGGCACTAGTACTTTCAAAGACACTGATTGCAAGGTTTAGGTCAGGGAATATACAAACTGATCCTAGACCTGTGGGTCGCGACTCTTCTAAGGGTTGAATACATTTTCGCAGGGGTCACCTAAGAACATCAGAAAAAACATGTTTACATTATGACTCAGAACAGTAGCAAAAGAGTTATGAAGTAGCAAAGAAATCATTTTATGGTTGGGGGCATCACCTCACCATGAGAAACTGTATTAAAGGGCAGAAATATGGTAGGTTGAGAACCACTGTCCTAAATCATCTTGTGGTTCTGAAAGGTAAGAAAGCCCCAAACCAAAATAATAATAGGAAAAAGTGAGGGCTGATGAGGTCTGAATAAAAATGGCCCCAAACGCTCGTATATTTGGATGCTCAGTCACCAGGGAATGGAACTCTCTGGAAGGATTAGAAGCATCAGGTGTGTTCTGTGCAGCTGCGGGTGAGCATTGAGGTTTCAAAATCTCATACCAAGCTCGTCTCTGTCTGTCTGTCTGTCTACCAGTGTATAGAACTCTCAGCCATTTCTTCAGTGCCATGACTGCCATACATGCCATCATGATGATTAAAGCTCGGAAACGGTGACCAAGTCCTCAAGTAAATGGTTTTCCTTAAAAGAATTGCCTTGGTCATGGTGTCTCTTCACAGAAATAGGAGAGGGAGCTGGAGAGGTGGCTCAGAGGTCCAGAGCACTGGCTGCTCTTCCAGAGGATCTGAGTTCAATTCCCAGCACCCACATGATGGCTCACAACCATCTGTAATGAGATCTGGTGCCCTCTTCTGGTGTGCGGCACACAGGCAGGGAGAACACGTGTGTGTGTGTGTGTGTGTGTGTGTGTGTATTTTTTTCTTTAAAAAAATAGAGTGACTGAGACATTAGGGAATACAGCTAAGTGGTAGAGTGCTTATCTAGTTATGTGTGAAGTCCTAAATTAAAAAAAAAAAGCAAAACAAACAAAAAACAGTGTTAAGCCAGGCATGGTGCATGGTAGTGTATGTCTTTAATCACAGCACTCAGGAGGTAGAGGCAGGCAGAGAGTTTGGGACCAGTCTACAGAGCAAAACTTACAGCTACACAGAGAAATCCTTTTCTTTTCTTTCCTTTTTTTTTTTTTTTTTTTTTTTTTGTTGTTGTTGCTGGATATTTGATCACACTGTGAAACCCAAGATTGCATTATTCACTGGAAAAACCAAGATTGCATTATTCACTGGAAAAACCTGTTTCCAGGAAAGAAAGAAAGAAAAAAAAAAAAAAAAAAAAAGTCCTAGCACACACCTTACACACCTTTAATCCAGGGCTTTCTGCGTGAATACTGTAATGAGGATTAAATTAAGTCAACCATAGATCAAGAGGGGGGCAATCAACCAGTTGATGGGAGTGAACATAAGATTAGTAAGAAAAGCCATAGAGAGTAAGGGAGTCAGGAGGATGGATAGAGAGACAAAGAGGAAGTAGAGGGGAGGGGCATTGAGTTTGAGGAGCCTGGATTGGGACAGGAGGAGACAGAAGTTTCTGGGACAACGGCAATGGCAGAGGAGGAAGGTCAGCTTGCTGTCTTTGCGGCTCTGAGCTAGCAGGCTTTCATCCCAGCATCTGGCTCATGAGTATTTATTGGTAAAAATCGAATGATTGAGATTATGTTAAAAATAACACTTTCTCAAAAAACAAACAAGTCGCGTGGAAAGGATGTAAGAGCCAACCAGGGCAGGTATTGCTGCCAAGCCTATAGGCTGACTTTGACCCCAGGGACCCATCTGGAAGCAGAAGACCGCTCTCCCGTTTTGTCCTCTGACCTCCACGCCCACCTCCCCCACCTATGACTTACACATAGAGAAATCTAATATCGTTTTTAAAAGAGTCAACCAGAAGGAGTTCTTGACAGCCAAAGTTAGAACAACCTGCACAAATAGATAATGGTATTGCACAACCTGCAGAAATAAATGACAGTATTGGATCATAGCCCCCAAATGAAATCTCCAGGAGCTTATACAGGTAAAAATGAGAAAGTAAATGGGGAACAATTCTTCCTTTAGAAGAGAATTCTAAAAGTATAATAGAGAAATTACAAATAGAGAAAATAACAATGAAAAAGAGAGTGTGTTAACTAGTACAGGTAGAAGGAATGAAATAAATAGAAAACTGTATTTAACAGCACATATCAAAGTTAATAGGCAAAAATTAAAGACAATATAGTCACGTCTCAAATAATCGTACTCCCATTAGTTACAAGGGAAAAAACAGGACTTACACCTTTATAGGTGGCTGGAAGATGCCTGTATAAGCAAACAGTTAACACAGGTACCACTGGCCCCCAATATGCACTAAGCAAAGGGGTGTCATCTCCACACTGTCTACATCTCTACATGAGAACATATCAAATACAAGCAGAGTTGCCCTGTAGAAACAGACTACTGTTCTTCAAAAGCATAAAGCTGGGGGCTGGGGAGATGGCTCAGTGGTTAAAAGGACGAGGACGTGGTTCGGTTCCCAGCACGGATGTGATGACTTCTCAACCACCTGTACTACA